ATCCTTGCATTCGCGTTTGGCCTTCATCCACTGGCCTCTCATCAACCATCCCAGCGCCTCACTCATCCAACGACATTGTAGAGCTTCATCACTACGAGGCTCCTTCCGTCTCACGAACCAATCAGCTTTGGACTCCATAATACACCTTCAGATTGAGCTTTATACTTTGTGCAACAAGGGTTCACGGACGCTGACACGACTCCTTCTGCTCTCTGAGCCTCCGAACCAGCCACCCTGCCTCCTGCGATCGACTGAGCTACATCAACACAGGCAGCCCCTCCCAAAAAAAACCACCATCATCATTCATCATGTCGGGCGCTGGAGCCCCCGGCGGTCCGCCAGGAGGCAACGGGCCCCCCAGCGCTGGACCGCAACAGAGCAACTTCACGCCGTCGCAGCAACCTGTAACACCAGGCACAGCCGTCGCAGCAACAGCAGCACCAGCAGCGGCCGCTCCTGCCGCAGCACAGCCGCCCATGTCGAATCAAAACCTCAACCAAATCGTGAGTTTTTCTTTGAGCTGCTCTTCCATCTGCACGACAAGGCCATGCATAACTTTTGATACCAAACATCATGCGCGACCCATACCTGCTCTCTGCTGACTTAGCCTTTGAGGTCACCGACTACCTCTTGAAGCGCGGCTTCACGAGGACGGAGAACATCTTCCGGCAGGAATCCAGTCATCTGGGTCCCGATGGTCGGCCCATTCAGGCCAAGGTTGACGACCTGGGTCCTCAGAAGTATAGGAAGGCCTTCAATATGCTGAGGGACTGGGTCGACAACGGCCTGGATATTTACAAGGTATGCACTCTGCACTTTCTTCCCTCCCTCAGGTGCCTATGGCTGACATCTCTCAGTTCGAGCTCGGCAAGCTTCTCTGGCCCGTCTTTGTCTACTCATGGATGGAGCTCATCAACCAGGGCTACCTTGATGATGCCAAGAACCTCCTGACTGGCTTGAAACCCTTTTTCGAGGCCGGACATGCCGATGATCTGAAGACGTTTGACACCATCTCCATTCCACACCACCTCAAGGAAAATGCGACTTGCAAGCTTTACACCGAGAACAAGTTCCGCATCCCTCTTAATCAGCATGTCACCGGCAACCTGTTTCACTTCCTCGAGCGAGAGAAGGAGAATGGCGGTGCTGTCATCATCTACATCTTGCAGACCTTTTGCCAGATTGACTCGACTGCTCGTGGCCCTATCGAGCCCTTTAGCTTCGAGGCCATCTATCGCCGCACGCAGAACATGACCCTGGATGAGATTGACGACAACGAAGGCATCCCCGGCATCTCTCTTGGCCTGACGAACAGGGACATGCTCGACACGTCTGTGGCGTTGCGTCTGGGACCCATGCCGATGGACGAAGATTTGCGCGACGACGTGCGCGCTGAGCTCGCTGAGGCGGATCAGCGCAACCCTCCTACCGAAGGCAAGGCATCGCTTGCGGATGAGTTCGAGCAGAAGATTAAGCGTGAAGAAAGCGCCGATGCTCCGTCAAGGTCTGACCTTCCTCTGCCGCCCTCTCGCGCGAGAGACGTCGTCATGGAGATGCAGAAGGTTCGGGAGAACCGCGATCGCTTCAAGATTGAGGGCCGCACAGGCGGCGTCGGCGTTCCCATCAGCGCGTGCATGTTCACCTTCCACAACTCTCTCGGCAGGTAAGAATAAACAATCACTCAGCAAACTGACTCATGCTAATTGAAGACCCAGCGTCTCATGCCTAGACTTTTCCAAGGACCATGAGTTGGTCGCCGCCGGTACTACTGACTCTTACATCCGCGTGTGGACTCTGGACGGAAAGGCTCTCAAGTCCAAGGCTGCCCACGATCTCGACTTCAAGGCCAACAATCGCAAACTCATCGGCCACTCTGGTCCCGTCTATGACGTTGCCTTTTCCGATGCCATCGCAAGTGGTAACCACACTCCTTTCGCTCACCAAGGCAAGGGCAATGGTGCCATTGACACGGGAGCCAAGCTTCTGCTTTCAGCCTCTGCGGATGGCCATGTTCGCTTGTGGTCTCTAGACTTGTGGCAGTGTCTGTGCATCTACAAGGGCCATGACGGTCCCGTCATGAGGGTTTCGTGGAGCCCGCACGGTCACTACTTTGTCAGCGGCGGCTGGGACAAGACGGCTCGTCTCTGGATGCAGGACCACGCCTCGGCTATGCGCCTTCTCGTCGGCCACAACACCAGCATCTCGGCTCTGGCTTGGCACCCCAACGGCACCTACCTATTCACAGCATCCGACGAGACTGACAAGTCGATTCGCATGTGGTCTGTCGTCACGGGCGGCTGTGTCCGTGTCTTCACCGGCCACAACGAATACATCTCTTCACTGACGTGCGCGCCCAACGGCAAGATCCTCGCCAGTGGTGACACAGGCGGCAACATTATGTTCTGGGATATTGAAAAGGGCACGCGGATCAAAAGGTCGAGGGGTCACGCAAAGGGCGGTATCTGGTCGATGGATTTCAGCGTCGAGTCCAACGTTCTCGTTTCCGGCGGCCAGGACGGCACTGTTCGTCTCTGGGACGTCGAGCTTCCCGCCGATGGCCACAAGGCTGTCCCACAGCAGGGCACTGCGCCTACTCAGGAGGGCGGCGAGGGCGCACCCGCGACGGGCGGGGCCGTGGAGCGCGGTGCTACTGGTGGTCAAGGGTCATCAGGGACCGGCACCGGTGGCACCGGCGGAGGCAAGAAGAAGGGCAAGGAGGTCATGATCACGCCCGACCAGATTAGTGCCTTCCCGACGAAGAAGACGCCCGTCATGGCGGTGCAGTTCACCAGGATGAACCTCGTCGTAGCTGGCGGGTGCTTTGATCCTGAGCGGTGATGGTAGCGGCGGACACGGGGGCGACAAAACTGGACTGCTCGCATGGCGTTAGGGATATGGCCTTGGATGGCCCATGGTTGGGGTAGTCGATAGGAATGCTATTGTGATTATATTGGCACTTTCGCCACAGACTGGCTGCCAGGGTTCCACTGATTGCGTGGGCAAAACCAGTCCGGGATGCAATCGAAGGAAGTGAAGCAATCAAGCACTCAATTACGTGCCCTACGTCAAGCGATCTCTTCAAGTCTCCGTGGATACCATGTGATGACTCGGAAGAAGCTACATCCTCGCTGGAAGCTCCGCCACGGCATGAGGCGCCGGCATCCCCGACATGTCATCCGTGACCATCTCTATTGGCCTCTCCTCGCTAGCTACCTCTGTCCGCCTCTCCTCGCTGAGAACTTCAATCGGCTTCTCCACACTCGCGACCTCGTTCGGGCTGCTACTCTCGACGCGGCCCTGCGTCTCGAGCGGCGACACGGACGGCGCAGGAAGGCTCGCGACCCGATCATCCGTCGCTTCCGCCTCGGCCGTCGCAGCCTTTCCCCGCCTGCGATAGAAGAACAGCGCCAAAGCCAGTCCCGCCAGGGCGAGGACCCCGAGCGGCACGCCGACCGCCACGGCTATCTTGGTCGTCGACGTCCAGCTGCTGCTGCTCCTGTCCGCCTCCTGGTCTGCGCTCTGGCCGTCTCCGCCGGTCGGCGTGCCCGTCGCGGCGGCGGTGTCGACGGCGTTGAAGACCCATCCGTTGATGTGCATGCCGTCGACGGTTGACAGCTGGGGCGCGAAGCTGGTGTACTCCCAGGCGCCGCTCATGGCGGAGACGGGCTCGGCCCAGGTGAGGACCTGGTTGGGGCGGACGTCTGATATGCACTGGCCCATGCGGTTCGGGCCCACGAAGGTGATGAACGTGTAGCCGCTGGAGAGATCAGCTTGAGACACGCCGAAGAAGAGAAAAGAGGTACATGGCGGCCACGACGGGACGAAGACGAAGCTGGAAGGAGAGAACATACCTCGGACAGCACCCCAGGAGCGTGGAGCCGGCGCCGGCGTCGCTCGTCATGGCGGTCGTGTAGGCCCCGGGACAGACGAGAGGCCCGAGGCTCCAGCGCGTCTGGACAATGTCTTGGTCGCGGTCTTCGGCGTGCCACCAGGAGGAGACGGCGGCGGGCTGGCACGAGGCCGAGGGGTCGACCCAGAGCTCGTAGCCCGGGTCCCATGCGACGATGGGGGAGTCCTCCTTGTCGAGGCGCCAGAAGAGGGAGGAGCAGGAGGTGTGGCAGGGGTACGCGGTCGTCAGGGGGATCCAGATCGTGGTCATGTCGCCGTTGACCTCGGGGCTGCGGCTGTCGGTCATCTGCGTGGGTGTCATTGTCGCTGGGGTGGACAGATGTAGCCTGGCATGGCGGTGGGTTTCGAGGACGAGGTGGACCAGGGATCGGAGGGACTGTCGCATGGACTGTGATGATCGGCCTTTGAGAGATGTCGCAGTCATCTCAGTAGCACAGACAGGATCAGTTTCACGGCCATCAGGACATGGTGACACGTCGACGGGAAGACCGACTGTGTCTTGCCTTGAGGACGGATAGCTGCAGAGGGCTAGCCGATGCCCGTGTTCGAGATCTGAAGGGATAATCAAGTGTTCACTCCCGCTGTCCTGCAAAACCACATGACAATAATCGTTCAAGTGAGTACCTCGAACGAGGGCGGTCGAGGCATACCGACATGGTGATGTATCATCAATCACATCGTTTGATTGAGTGACTGATTTTGAGAAACATCATTACATGACAAAGAAAATAGTGTCAATCCCATTCAGGTGAAATCATCTCCTGAAGTGTACGAATGGAGAGAATGTGATGGTGATGCCTGCGAAGTTGGAGCAGACGATGATGGCGATGAGTTGGTTGCATGTGGCTGTGCGAACGTCCTGTGTGGCTGACTGTGGCACCAGCTTCCCCCAGGCACTTGCCCCCCTTCGTGCGTAATGCTCCAGGCACCATGACCATGGCAATGAGGGTTGGATGAGGTACATCGCAACGACATCCTCCCCACGCTGCGACCTTCATTCCAATCCACCTCTTGTGCTGACATCCAACCTACCTGCACCTCCCACAACCCTGCTCACCCGTCACCCGTCACCCGTCACGTTCCGGGCCACCATGGATCCTCTCGAAGAATCCCCTTGGGGCGAGTCGGCGCCTTCGCAAACCTCGCAACCCGAAACCTCCCAATCGCAGGATGATGCACCCAAGTCCTCCGCTCCAAGCACTTCTTCAACTCGCGCCTCGCGCGCTGCTCCTCGCCGCATGGTAGCCCAGCCAACCCGCCTCGAAGCCGTCGACGACGACCCTCTCGGTCCATTGGGCCCCCTTGGCGGCCCTGCTACTCCCGGTACTCCCGATCTCGGCCAGGATGCGCCCCCCGTCCCGCCCCAGAAGGAGGAGATGGTGATTCGCACCACCATGCCGCCCTCTCAGACGCGCCGCGCTGGTCCCGCCGACCCTCATCGTGTCGACGATGCGGATGACGATTACAACCGCGCAAGTGGCCCTCGCGCGCCGCCTCCTGTTCAGGCTGCCCACCCGAGCGCCGTTCGGACAACCACCAACCCCAGCGTGAGCGTCGAACAAGCGAGCAGGCCGACTTTCCACATTTCCGTCGGCGATCCCCACAAGGTCGGAGACTTTACAAGTTCACACGTGCAGTATGCCGTGCGGACTCAGGTAAGCCGCCCGCCCCACGAGGCGACGTGCCGGTTTCGTCGCTGACAACGCAGACAACATCCAAGGCGTACAAGGAACCCGAGTTTGAGGTGAAGCGACGGTACCGCGATTTCCTGTGGCTGTATAACACACTGCACGGGAACAACCCCGGCATCGTCGTGCCGCCGCCCCCAGAGAAGCAGGCCGTCGGTCGCTTCGAGACCAACTTTGTCGAGAGCCGCCGCGCCGCGTTGGAGAAGATGCTCAACAAGATCGCGGCGCACCCTACGCTGCAGCTCGACGGCGACCTGAAGCTGTTCCTCGAGAGCGAATCCTTCAACGTCGACATCAAGCACAAGGAGCGGAGGGAGCCCATCCCGACAGAAAGCAAGGGTGTCTTGGGCAGCCTGGGCATCAGCGTCGGCGGCGGCAGCAAGTTTGTCGAGCAGGATGACGTGAGTGACAGTGCCGAATCGCCAGTCTTGCCAGGCTAACTGATACAGTGGTTCCACGATCGCAAGGTTTACCTCGATGCGCTGGAGAACCAGCTCCGAGCCCTACTCAAAGCCATGGAGACCATGGTCGGCCAGAGGAAGATGATGGCCGAGGCGGCCGGCGATTTCTCCGCCTCGCTGCACGCCCTCTCCACCGTCGAGCTCTCGCCCTCGCTCTCTGGCCCTCTCGACGCCCTCTCCGAGCTGCAGCTTACCATTCGCGATGTCTACGATCGGCAGGCCCAGCAGGACGTGCTCACGTTTGGCATAATCCTCGAGGAGTACATCCGACTCATCGGATCTGTCAAGCAGGCATTTGCGCAGCGGCAAAAGGCCTTTTACTCATGGCACACGGCCGAGTCGGAGATGCAGAAGAAGAAGACGACACAGGACAAGCTCCTGAGGCAGGGCAAGAGCCAGCAGGACCGCCTCAACCAGATGGGCGCCGAGGTCGCCGACGCCGAGCGCAAATGCCACCATGCGCGCATGCTGTTCGAGGACATGGGCCGACTGATGCGCGCGGAACTGGACCGCTTTGAGAAGGAGAAGGTTGAGGACTTCAAGAGCGGTGTGGAGACGTTCCTGGAGAGCGCCGTCGAGGCGCAGAAGGAGGTAAGGCCTTGCTCTGAGAGAGCATTACTGCATTACGGCGTGTGGCTAATGAAATGCAGTTGATCGAAAAGTGGGAGACGTTCCTCATGCAGCTTGACGCTGACGACGACGAGACGGTCTTTTACCGCCCACCTGTGACAGAAGGCAACAAGCCGGCCGGTGACACGGCAATTGATCGGGCTCGGGCGACAATCAACGATGACTCGGATTAGGTGCCGACCAAGATGGCGCCGCGGCGCACCTCGGTCATGTCCTTCTGGGGTCCGCCGTGCGATTCGAGTCGCTGGGCAGCTCTGCCGATGTCGCGCAACCGGCGTATCGTTAGCTGGCTGCGGTTCGACAAGCCTCATCTCCACCTTGGTTCGTGAGATGGGGGTTCTCTGGCATGATGCACTAACAACAGGGGGGCGTCGGGAGGAAGTGGACAAACAGTTAGGTCGTTTTCAATGGTGTTGGTGTTGTACATATATAACAGTAGAGTCCGGCCTGGACCTTCTAATCGCACAATGAGCGTCTCCCTCCTACACGACCTGCCGTCCCATCTTTCGGAACAAGGACCCATCCGCGTGACCTTGCTCAGCGTGCTATACATGAGATCAAGCTCGTAACCCCTCCCCCCCCCCCTTTCCGGACATGTCATGCCGAACCCGACCCCTTATTTCTTCCCCTTCGTCTTCCTGCGGACTGCGGGTGCCTTGGGGTTCTTTCATGGGCGTCGAGTATCCGCTGATCAGATCCCCCCATGTCCCACACCTCATCCTCGCCGACCTCCTCAACGGCGCCATCACCCTTGCCCTTGCCCTGGCCCTTGCCCTGGCCCTTGCCCTTATCCCCCGCGGCCTGCGCGTCGGCCTCCTCCGAAGCGGCGTCGAGCAGGTCAAAGCCGCGGCCGAACCTCTGTCGGAACGCCGCCAGCTTGCCGGCCTCGTCGAGCTCGACGTTGTGCAGCGTCTTCTCCGACGGCTGCCAGAGGATGTGGTTGCGCGAGTCCTTGTCGGCGCGGTGCAGCGGCGCCGGGGACGTGGTGCGCGCCGTGAAGGTCGAGCCGTCCGAGAGCTGCACGAGCTGGGTGAAGGTGTAGGGGCGGCGCGGGCGGTGGATGTAGGTCGCGGCGCGGGACTGGCGGGCGGCGAGGTGGGCTGGGTGCGTGGGCTGGAAGCTGCCGGTTGTGGGTTTGGTCGTCGTGTGGCGGAGGAGCGGGCGCCGGGCGAGGGCGGAGGGGAGAGAAGCCATGTTTGTCACTCGACGGGCGAGGTCGATGTCGTGGTTGTGTTGGTGACGGGGCGTGCGAGATGCTCGCTGATGGCGGTTGAAAAGGGTAAGTCGCGACTGGAGGGTTGATGGGAGCGCAGTGGTAAAGCTGCGGGTGGTCACAAAATTTCCCGACTCTCAGGGTCAGTTCGGTGAGGCTGACCGAGGCCACACCTTGCACATCCAACCGGCGAATCCACTTTCGTGTCTTATCGATAACCTCGCGGTTCGGTGCTGCAAGACGGCGCCGATGCAAAAAGTTCGAATCCACCACAATGGTTA